AATATAATAAGAACTTTAATTTATTAGAGAACGAATATCTACTTACTATAATCGGAAAAGATTATAGGGACTAATCTTTTAAGAGGGAGATATAGCCTACCTCGTATAATAAAATATTAAAATAAAATAACTAAGTAATAAATTAGATTTTAAGAAACTTAGACTATTTAAAATTAAGAAGGTTATTTTAAAAGTTAACTATAAACTTTCGCTACTAATAATAATATAGATATACCTAATATTTTATATCTCGTTATTAGAACTAGTACTATGAGACGCTAAATTATAAGATAAAATCGAAGTCGACGACGATTAAGAATATAAAGCTAAATAAATACTAGATATAAGAAAATAAGGTTAGTAATAAGAATACCTTATTAAATAGAAAGGATATAGACTAAAAGAGAATACCTAGGAACTACTTAAGTACTTAACCTACTATAGCTCTTTACTTTAATAATTTTATTAAAAGGTTTAAGAGGGATTAAAGGACTAAGATCTATAAACTCCTTACTAATACTAAATAAGGACTAATTCGCTTTATTAAGAACGCCTAACGATTATAAGTTATTTACTACTTAATACTTATACGTATTAAGCGTAGGTAAAACGCTATCCTTAGTATCTACTTCTTAGATACTACGACGAAATAACTTAGAACTCTTTTCCTTTATATAATTTTAAATCTTCTAGATATAAGCTAAACGATTAACGGTAATAAATATTTACGACTAAAGGTTCGTAAGCTATGCCTAAAGCTTTAATAAGGCTTCCCTAGCTTACTCCTCTTCGGAATATAGCTTACGCTACTTTACTAATAATTTAGTTATTAAAAGAAATATATTAGCTACTATATATAGAAAGAATTAAAAGATACCTATAAGAAGAGGCTACTAAAACACTATTATAATAAGGACGACTACTAGTAATATAATTATTATAGCGCGAAGAATTTTCGGCTATCCGATAATTCGTCTTCTTTACCTTAAAGTATCGAGTGCACGGTATATTAATAGGATCTCCGCTTAAGTCGATATATTCGGTAAGAGTAGCGCGCTTAGAAGCTTTTTAGGAACGATTTTTTAGTATACGACTAGATATACTATTAGTAGTATATCCCGAAAAGATAAAGAAATAAGGAACGATATACTTATATATAACGCGATAAAGGTATATTTATATACGGCGGCTAAGGCAGCTATAGTAGGTCTTACGGATAAGACTAAAAGGAGGGGAGATATCGTATTATAACTATAGCTACTAGGCCGCTAATAGTCGACCGCGTTAAGTACGTAACACGGTCTAACGGATAAATAGTCGGCACGACTATCTAATAGATATAGGATTAAGGGGATCGTAGAGATCTAAGTAATCTAGGATTAATAAGATTACTACGCTTTATACGATCTAACGTTAGGGATTATAGCTAGGACTATAATCTAAGGATAGTCTCTATAGGTATATATAGCTACCTACTTTTACTCCTTTAGATAGATAGCTCTCTAGCTTTTAATATAGATCTTTATTACGATTCTATCTCTAATTCTAATTACTTAGTTATAGTCTATAGTCTATAACTATCACGAAAAAGATATAGCCGCCTATTAGATATAAGCGACAGCGTTAATTAACGCATATAGTATACGCGACATACCCCCTTAGGGATATCGGGTTAATTCGTCCCGGGATACCTAGATATCCTAGACCACAGCGGGAATTTTTATATAGGCAGGCCCCATGCTGAAACCGCGCTCAATTACGCTGGCGGGACTCGAACCACGGGCCTTTCGGGTAGTGCGCGCCAGGCTAGCCAGAAGAAGTGCGTGCGCAGTCACCGGGAAGTTCCCGGAGGGGTAACCCCTCCGCCCGGGCTCATAACTATTACGAAAAAGATGTAGCCGCCTATCAGATATAAGCAACAGCGTCAATTGACGCATATAGTATACGCGACAATAACCTCCGACTTATTACTAACGTAATATATATATTATTGCTTAGACTACGCCCTATTATATCTACTAATATAAACCCCTTAATAGGTTTATCCCTTAGGAATAACACCGGTCGTTATAAGTTAAGGATAGCCGATTTTCGTAGGGGATAATCGGAGGGCTCTAACGGTTAGTCTTAGCCTTATTAATCCGTAGGGAAGATAAAGGCCGGATTTACTATACTAACGATTTTTCCTCGAATTTATAGTAGCGGCGTTAGTTACTATTTCCTAGTAACCCGAATCTCGTCTATCTTCTTCTATAATAAGGGGTCCTCCTTAAGAGACTATTATACTGTTTCTCGTAGCCTCTTTAAAGGGTTAACTCCTTTAGGTCGGTTTTCCTCGAAGACCTACTAGCAGTCTTCTAGCCGATAGGGCTTTTTATATGCTTAGTAGGTAGGTCGATTCCTCCTTATACGTTGTCTCTTTAAGGAATCCTCGTCCCTTTTTAGAAGGTCTGCTTAAAAACCCCCCCTTTTTGCCCCTTATTGCTAATTTTAATAAAGAGGTTCGATTTCGACTAGTTCCCTGATTTTTCGACTAACGGACTAAAAGGTCTATTAGGGGACTAGTCGGGCCGGTCTAACTAACGGGACCGGGGCCGGGCCCGGAGTAAGAGGCGGAGCCGGGCCTAGGGCAGCCGTTAAAGACGGTGTTAATGCTCTCGAGGGAGGTAGAGCCGAAGGAGCAACAGCCGTAGCAGCAGTAGCGGGGGCCGTAGCAATAGGGGCTACCGCAGCTGCAGGGGCAGTAGGTCGAGCCGTCTAGGTTAAGTGCTAGCTACGAAGGAATAAGACTGCTTACTATTATACTCTAGTAGCCTCTTCGTTTAGTTCCTAGCTAGCTTTTTAAAAGATAGTCGAGTAACCGTTACTAATAGGCTTTATTAGCAGAGATATATCCTATAGCTACTAGCCGGAAAGAGCTTCTATAAGGAAGTATTAGTTAGCTTCCTCGAGGATTTCTTCCTACTTAGCTAGCTACGACGAAGCTAGTAGGTTCCTAGCAGAAAAGGCTCCTAGGTATACCGTATAGGTTTTCCTAATACGGTTAGTTATATAGCCCCTCGAGGGAGCTATCGAGGTCTCGAGCTTTAAAAGCCACTGCCTAGGAGTCTCTTCCTCTTAAAGAGAGATTAGCTTTACGGTACTAACGGATTCCGTTATTACTATGCGTATAGTAGTTAGCAGCTTTGTCTCGTAAAGGTATTCCTTACGGTGACTCTCGTAGTTACCTAAGGTAGCAGAAAAAGCTCTCTATTATACGGAGGTTAGCTCGGAGAAGAGGGAAGCTCCTTCTATAAATTCCGTTGCCCTAGGACGAAGAGGGTGCTCGAGAGGGTCCTGCTTATTAAAGAAGACTAAATTATAGATAGTTCTATCTATATGAGCCCGTAGCTCCTTTACCTACTTATCCTAATCTTAGGGCTCTATAAGAATCGTCCTACGGACTATAGGGGCGGCAGAGTCGTTTTTCGATATTATTGCGGGGAAGGGTAGAAAAGTTAGGTAAAAATCAGCTTTTCTAGTAAGAGGGGTAAAAGGAAGCTACGAGGGATATAAGAAAGGTGCCTTTTATAGTAGCCGGAAGGTATAGGAATTCTATTCCTCCCGGGCTTATAACTCTCGTGAAGAGAGATATAAGAAGTATATATAAAATATATAAAGGTAAAATTAAAAGTAAGGGGTCGGATAGGCAGGGCAGAGGGATTTAATTCTTATAGGAGCAGTAATAAAGGTAGGGGAGTAATTATTATATTGCCTTAATTATCTTTCTTTTCTCTATCTAACGCCCCTCTTTATACCTATCTAGTATCTTAATTAATAAAGAAGATCCTACTTAAAGAAGCTACTAATATCCTTTCGACTACCGAGCTTTTTGCCGGTTTTTCCCCTCTTTTCTAGCCGTTGCCGGCATATCCGTCTTATCTTTCGCTACCTCTATAGGAAGCTATCGCTACTTCTGCTTCCCCTTATGCCCCTACCCTCCTTTCTGCACCTCTTTTTAGCTCCTTCTTCCTTCTTCTATACCGGGTGTTTTTAGCTTCCTAGGTCCCTCGTGCTAAGAGATATCTCCGAGAACTGCGAAATCAGGCCACGCTTCGCGACAACTTTAATAAGACTGACTTCCTATATTATCTTTAAGAAATACGTAACCGTATATTTAAGAAGATAACGATTCTGACTTCTTAGGAGAAATGCGGCCTTTTCCCTTACAACCCGGCCGTAGTACTCGACCAGCTATAAGATTCACTCTCTTCGTTACCTCACGAAGTCGAGGAATGCAACCTCTACGGCGTTATCGAAAACTCGGAAGAAGAAGCTATCACAACACCACGTAGGGCGCCGCGGAGCCAATCGCTAAGAAGGAAAAGGAAAAGGAAAAGGAAAAGGAAAAGGAACAGGAACAGAATGCCGTTGACTGCATCATTATAGCTCACTCGCCGCTCGCGCAATAAGGCGAAGGCGTTATCACGATATTGGATAATCAAGGTTATGAGGGAAGCGGGGAAGAAGGTTATGCACTTAAACGAGGAAACTGAGTACATGGCGCGGCTATGTTATGCTTGTAAATTTGGTTGGCGCTAATGTACCCTACCGTTTCCCAGTCAGTGACCCTTTTCCTAGTCAATGCACCCCCCGTGCTTGATGTTCAAGCGCGGGGGGTCGACTTTTAGACCCCCCTAGTACCGATCCCAGACCTATCTGGTCCCGAACCGCGGCGACAAGCTCTTCATGCCTGCGACCGTATGCGCCAGGGTGTTGGGCTATAGGACCCATATCTGGCGTCCACAAAAATAGGTCTCTGTACAGGTCATCGCGAGCCGGGCACACTCCCTTGTATTCCAACGTTCTTGGCATCAATTGTTAAGGAATTCGCTGTGCCCAACACACGGCCGCTGACAAGGGCGTCCAGCACCACGCTCAGCGCGAGCTGATGGAGGCGATGGCGCCTAACCCCGTGGACGAGGCGCGACTGACGTCCCAAGAACAGGAGCCGATGACTCCTACGAACGCTTCTGGATCCAGAGAAAGTTTTCCTGGTGGCGGAATTCCTCCCTAGCTTCCTGGAGACTTTCGACGTAATCTTCCTTGGCCTCCCTGAACCTGGCCTCATTCTCGAAGGCTGCTCTCAGGGGCTTTGGCCCAATGGACTCAACAGCGTCGCTCCAGCTAAGGTCTGCGGGTTCCTTCAACACCGAGGTTCCATCGGGATCAACGTAATCCCAGACCTCATGCGTGACCGCAAGAGACTTGATTCCCCTGATCCAAGGGGTCCAGTCCAAGCTCTCCTTGAGCTTGGTGATGTACACCTCCTTGCCTTGCGCCGGGAGGGTCATTTTGCTGGAGTTAGTGATGACCTCCTTTTCTTCAAAGGAGGGATGCAACGAATGCCTGTATGACCTAATTGACTAGGTCCTCACGTCAACACCACAGGAGAGGGGTTATTGGCCGCGTTGGGGCTCGTGATAGCCTCAAATGGGTTGTTGCCGAGTGAAAGATGCCCTAGTCATGCAACCGGGCTCATAACTGTCAAGCTGGTAAAATATCGCTACACCATGCAAAATGAGGGCACCCCCGATAGCGGTGTTACTAACGCGTATTATAGGCCCTTTCTTGTCAGTATCTATTCGTATAAATACCCCTTCAATGTCGCACAGATAGATAGAAAACATGCATCATCGTTTGGACTCAATTGTGCCTGCCCTTATCCTTCCGCCCGCGCTCTCAGCTTGCTGAGAGAAGTCCTTTCGTTCCTCAAGGCAAAGCAAACGGCCTAACCTGTTCAAGGCACCAGTCGTACCACCTTTCAGCCATTCCAGTTCCGCCTTCACACCGCGAACGTGACCCTTTCTCTAGATCCGACCGGATTGCCGCAAATCTACCCCAGGGAATAACTGAAAGAATGTATTAGCGTGGCCTTAATCCTTCGCTATTAATGAGCTTACTATAAGTTCCGGAATTAATAGCAGTAACATCAGGGGACAAGCCGGAGAACAACTCAGTGTACGCGCCATTAATAGCTGGGAAACAAAACATTCCCATAACGCACTTAATGATCCCGCTTTTATAGTATCTCTGCAGGTCTGTCTTGAGATTCCCCGGATTGCAATACTCCATATTGTTAATAGAATGCAACAACTCGAACGAACTGGGGCGAGACTTACAATACTCAAAATACCACAAGCCTTCTGTCTTCTAGCAAACTCTGTCGCTTGGTAGTAAACACCGGCTTTGCTTACGCTGTACTTAAAGTAGGTACTTCTCTCTTCTTTAGAATAGTCGATATTATTAGGTTCAAACCCGTTCTTAGGTGACCCCAGCTCTCCATATAGGGAACCTACCCAAATCACTCTAACCTTACCCACTGGCTCACAGGCAGCGGTATGAGTAAGAGTCGGCTTGAGGAGCTCAGTGAGTAGTACGTGGCCGAGGTTATTCACTCCTAGTTGCAGCTCATAGCCTTGCGCTGTCTTAGAACCTTGAGGTGGATGCATTACCCCAGCATTATTGAAAAGAACATTTAGGCGTTTTTCCTTCGCTATAAAAGCCTTTGCCGCTTTTAATACAGATTTAAGGTCGGCAAGGTCCATTACGAGTGGTTCTAGGCGGCCAGACGAGGAAGCGTTTCCATGGCGTATATCAGTAATAGCTTTCGTAGCCTTCTGCTCGCAACGTGCTCCAATATAGACGGTAGCATTTTTAGAATAGAGAACGCTGGCGAGTTCTCTACCGATGCCAGAATTCGATCCTGTAACTATATAAACCTTTAATATCCAGGTTAGTAAAGCCTAAATTGTAAATTGCAACGTAACTATACCTTTCCAGATAAATCCTTCAGGTCCACCTCAGTGAAGTGGGGTTGTGGGGGCCATAGTTGACTAAACATCACTGCGATTAACGGGTATCTTCTAAACCCTACCAGGCGATGAGGTGTATAATAATTATCGCGATCCAAGAGTCTTGTAAGGGAAGACTTTATATAACTAGAGATATTATGCGGCGAGACTAAGCTTACTAACCCACTGGCTAGCCTTTAGAAGGTTATAGCATATAAAACTTAGACACATTCTTATCATTTAAGTGCTACAGTCACATACCTAGCAGTATTAAAGTCACATATCTAGCAGTGTTGAAGTCACATATCTAGCAGCGTTAACGTTATATATCTAATAGTGTTAAAGTTATATACCCAGTATACCAAGCAGTATTGTAATTACATACTAATATTAACTTAAACATATTTTGATACTGTGTTGAAAAGAAAGACAAGTACGTTAATTGCAGCGCACCTCTCACACACAGACCACATGCCATAACTGTCAATTGCGCACCACTTGCTGGAGAGCGCGTTCTCCTTTTGTTGCAATATATCGCACGGAAGATAAGCAAGTGAGCATAAAGATCAGGGACTGGAAGACTCTTGATTTTCCTATCTAGAGTGTATAATGTGCTGCATCTTTATAGGCGATGCGAATGAGTGACTAGAAGCTGATGGAAGGTTCTGTGACTGTTGAGGTGGTGACTACTGTGCGAGTCAGGGTTTCAGACTGTTGGAGGCTGACGTACTCTGTGTGACAGCACCTCTCGGAGCGCGCGTTCCACTTTTGCCTGCGTGGCGCAATGGTCTTCGCGATAATTTGACTGCGAAAGTTATAGCAGTGTTCTAGATAGTCGAATAGTAATAGTATACTTCTCTAGCAGTGCTGTTAGAATGACAAATCTAGGTAGGTTTGTAATACATAAATATAATGCTCGGTGAGATATATAAATAGCGGTTATCCCACCGCTTATAGCTATAAACGTACTCACAATCTCGAAATTACTTGCCTATTATATGAGGCAAATTTCAACTGAGCTTTATAGAACAGAAACTAAAGATATGTCTATTTCCTTTTTACGAAATAGTTCAACACAGTAGTAAGTCTCTTATAACTGGTTTGGGCAGTGAATCTGCTAATCTGATATAGTCTCAGCAAGAGAAGTCGACTTAATGACTCTCCTAATATTCGGTCGGTTCTTTTATTTAACTGGACCGACACTCGTATATTCCATTTTTGGCTCCTACAGGCTATGGATATTCTGGCTTTCCTACTTTGTGCCGGAGCACTTATCTATCTACAACCTGTAGTCCCTACCGACCTTAGTAGAAACTATAACCCGACTAGGACCAACTCTTTTGTTTTCGATAATACATCGACTACCGAAGAGACTCAACAGTTATTCAGTGTCGAGGCGACCCGTCTTTCCCTGGATGTATGGTTTTCGCTCAGCCTGACAACTGCCGTGGACTCCTTAGCCGTGGTGACCACGTTTAACCGCGCCCTAATTAGACAGTTTCATCGTGCTGTGAGCCTACGATTAATGCTGCTTGCATGCGTATTATCCATTTGCGTATTGCTGCAAAAGTCAAATAATCCCATGACAGGCTCGACTATCGTTTTTACTGTCTATATTCTATTACAGGCTATTTCAGATCGGTTCAAAGGACTAAACTATACCAACATTCTGTCTTCGCCTCGAAGAACCATACAACAGTATAGCGAGGTGTTGAGCGTATTTGATGTACCATGGTACCGAGCCGGTCTTATGGCATGCACTACAGGAGTAGTTGGTCTGATTTGGACAGCGCTCATTCCGCCTCCATGGTCCTGCCTGATACCAGTAATGATAATTTTATTTGAGGAAGGTTATTTAATGCTACTACGATTTAGCTACGAGTTGGCTAACATCGCATTTATATTTAGGCTGCCTGTCTTTCTGCTATGAAAGGCAGAACGGCTCGATACACCATTTTAGCCTTTCCGTTATTACAGGCCATCTTTTTTTTTCATTGGGGATTCTTGCCAGTCAAAGCCGGCCCAGCACTGTCCATCTCGCCGCTGAGGTGTGTCACGTTGGTGCTGGTAGGCCGCTTATTGCTTGATCTACACATTTGGACCGTGTTCCGACATCGCGCAGAGTTGCATTGGATTCGAAGGGAAATCTTGCCTTCAACTCGTTTAATCTTAGGACTATGCATTACTGCTCTTTTTCTAGAGCATCTTGGTTTAAAAATTATTACATACATTAAACCACTTGCTGTATATACTGTTTTTATTATTAGCAGCTCCCTGTACCCTGCGCCGTTCGCTTATATTCTTGCTTTTAGTCGGACTAAAGAGTTAAGAAAATAGACAAAGCTATCGCGAAGCACATTATAACGACGTTCATAACCCCAGCCCTTTTTAGACCTGCGTCTGATGCCCGAGGACCTGCTCCTAGACATCCCCCCCCCTCGCCAACCTGATCAAGGGCGAGAAGGTGGTATCGGATGCAGATACCTTCTTCTCGGGACTCTTCAACAGCTGCGCTGGCGATACTATCTTCGTCAACATGTTGACGAGCTACCAGGACGTGGCGAGGAAGTGGTTTCCGGACTTGCTACCCCTAGCGCTAAAGAAACAGTCCGAGGCCAAGCAGTTAGACCAGCAGCAGAGACGGTCGGGTGAAGAAAGTTAATGTCAGGGTGGCAAACCACGCAATCAACGCAACCGAGTGACGGGATTGCGTGGATTGCCAGCTTACATCATCAAATCCTCGATTGCGTTGAGCAATCTGAATCTCAATTGCGTGGATTGCGTGGATTGCTGGCGTTGACGGTTGTCAATATGCTATTCGGAGATAACGACAAAGTCCTCTGGCCCGTCCTCCCCTTTCTCAGAATTATCCTCTGCGGCCTCCACGAAGGCGTTGTCGTCTACCGATGGATCAACGACTCCCTGGTAGTTGTGTATTAATCCCGCGTTCAGCCAAGACCGGATGGACTGTGCGGCGCTGATGGTCTTCACCTCAAGTCTCCTGCGCAGCCGGGTAACCATCAGTCCAGCAAATGAAAACGCCCTTTCGCACTCGGCAGACATGGGCGGGACGGATAGCATATCGAAAGCCATCCGCGCCAGCCGCGGATATGTCGCCTCTTTGAGTTTCCAGTACTGAAATGGATCATTGATCTCCCCGTCGTCTGCCCCGATATCGACGGTCCAACGATCCAACTCGTCGGCGATAGGGCGCGTCGGCAGCCGGTAATCACCATTCGTGATATGGCTCGATTGCACCTGTGCCTCATTCGAAACTTTGGAAATCGTCCAGATCGTCGGGTGGCTGGAAATTCTCCACAGCAGTGGCTGGACCCTCCTCCTCGACGTTCAGCGACTTATAGTCACTTTCCCAGATGGCTCGGACGATCCGCCGGGCTTCCGTGACCCATTCGGGTCGATGAGCCCAAGCTTCTTCGAACCACTGTAACCGCAAGGCAGGATGCAGAGCGATGGCCGAGTAGTATATCGGACACTCGATGAGTTTCGCGTAGTACTTATCCAATTTTTCCAACCCAATTCGACGTTGATTGCGAAGTGGCCAGAATCCGGCAGGTCTCTGGCCATCGTTTTGGCTTCTTCAAGCTTCTCCAGAAGATATTCGAACGCCTGGATGATATCCATGCGGTTCCATAGGCTATGAGCTCCGTCTTTGCGGACACGGACTTGCGCGTCTCCTTCAAGTGCCTTGAGAGCATTGGCAAAATGTCTCAGGACATCTCGGAAATTGCTGATCACCATCCAATCGTTCTCCGTCAGTAAATCCTCATCTCGTATACACGCAGGCCTGGCTCTACTTCTCGACCTGCCTCTGCTGTGCTCGAACCGTTCGATCGCGACAAGGTCGTCGAGAAATTCGCGAAGGAAGAGCCCGATCCATCATTTTGTAATGAGACAGCCAGCGCGTCATGTTATAGGTCACAACGTCGACCGGCCTTTTCGTACCATCCTTCTTCTCCTGCAGGCTCCGTAGTAGATAGGTCAGCCTGTCGGATCGATGAATCAATGGACGAGATTGTGGAGTTTGCCGATCGGACCTTTTTCGCCAAAGGTTGTGCTGAGCCAGGTCGAGAATATTGGTACGATCTTCTGAATCGAAGACCTCGTCGTCTTTTCCAAGAGCAGTGCTTTCGCTACAAGGTTGATAATATGTCAAAGCAGCGGACCCTTCTTTGCCTCCCATCGAAACTGAATTGGTCACCCAGGGCCCTCATCGCGGTGTCGTTGTTCTCCGCGTTATCCAACGTGAAGTAGCCAATCTTATCCTGTATCTCGAACGAGGTGATGACTTCTGCCACCTGAAGCGATGTTCTCCAGTATGGGACTGCCGCAACTCAGGCATTCCGAGAAGTATTTTTTGTGGGCGCTTTTCCTTGGACAGGTAGAACGCAGCAATCCCGTACACAGCGTGCCGATTGGGCGATCTCCAGCCGTCAAACGCAAGATGGATACGGCCGGGGCACTCTTTCAATTCCTTCACCACAACGCCCTTGTATTGGTGATACTCTTCGAAAAGCCTGGACCGAATGGTCGTGTGAGTCATGTGTGACTGGGTCAGGCCAATTGAAGGATTGAGATAGTCGAGCAGAGAACGGAATCGAGGGGCTTCGATGGCGCGAAAGGCAACATTTGACTCGGTGATCCAAGCAAGTAGGAGTGATTGGAACACATTCTTATCAAAGTGATTCTTGAGCGTGTTGATCAAGGCCTGCTCTTTGCCGTCGTTTGCGTCGAGCTCGAAGAACTGTGCGATAGAGCGCTTCTTTGTTGTCGTACCTTTCGGCAGACGTTTCCCCAACGGCCCAGAAATGCGGTGCGCATCGTGCAGATGGCGCTCGATATTTGTCGTTCCCTTCGCTGCAAAGCTTGGGGGTCCTTGGGGCGATTTCTTGACCGAACAGGTCCCGCATACCCACAGCCTATTGTCCCCGTTGTCTTGATGCTCAATGTCAAACCCAAAGCGCCAAATCCACGACTTGAGCTTGCCGGCGCGTTGGGATTTGGTGTAGCCGCGAAAGTGCTGCCATGGAAATGTTTCCCATTCTCGACTGCCTTGGGGGCCTGCAGAAGGCAAAGAATCGAGATAGTCGCCCATCTAAGAGAAGAGTGGGATAATATGAGAGGCGTTACAAACATCCCGATTGCGGCACGATGATTGAGTCACTTTCCCCCTTACTCATGAACGCGTGGACGCCAGGTTCAGACACGAGCGCGTCGCGTTCATAACAGCAAGGGACTCTTGTCAGAATGGATGATTGGTCCAATTGTCAATCTGCCCCTGAGCTGCTGACGCTTCGGCTTGGGTGAGATTTCTTCATATAATCCACTGGTCATCTACCCTACACACTTTCCACCGTCAACGGCAATTCCGTCAATCCCGTCAATCAACGCGAGATCGGATTGAATTGCCGGCTTAATCAGCCGACCATCGATTGCGTTGATTGAGTTGCCAGTTGCTCAACTGGATTGAGCAACCGGTTGCCAGGATTGAGTGGTTTGCCAGCCTGGTTAATGTTATGACTGCTAGATATGTATTGCACTCCTTGCTTTATTGATATATGATTAATGAAGAAGTCAGATTATAAAGAAGTGATGTTAATAAACGGGGTTGGCTGCAATGCCATCGAATGCGGGGGGTCTGGCTGTAGCTGTCGCGAAGAACGTCTCTCGATTGAGTCAGCCAGGTCACACATGGGTAGCTGGGCCAACAAGGAAGCTGTCAACCAGGTCAAACGAGAGGCTGGAAAGCTGCTATTTGAGACTGGAACGTCTCCAGTCGAGAGGCTGGTGTCACCCAGCCTCCCTCAGCCCATTACCTATACCATGCTTACCCCCCCTTCTGCTCACCCCCCCCTTATGCTCCGCAAAAATGTTGCCGCTCTATACAAATTAGACCAACTTTACTTATACAGAATCTACTCAATTTAAAAGCTTTTAACGAGCAGTCACCCGTAGCAGGTATAGAAATAACCGAACTTATATTTTATGAAGTCAACTGATGACCCTAAGTGTCGTGGTCCGTGACACCGTAGCGTCGTAAAATAGCAATCTCGACCCCTAATCTCCTCCTAACAGGCTGTCTAATCATACGCGTATGGTTTATATAAACCATATATTGCCTATATATTGCTAATAAACCTATACTATATAAGATTAGTCGTATAACTATATATAGCTATACGCGGGGGAAAGTTCCTCCGAGGTTATAATTTCGGCGAAGAAAAGATTATTCGGCGATTAATAGTTACATACTAATATCTCCTAAGAAATATATCGGAACTATAGCAATATACTCTATTACTCTATTAACGTTCGGGGAAGATTCTATAATAAAAAAGACCGAAATAACTAACTGCTCTATATATATTTATTATTACGGTAGAAATAAGTAAAGATCGCGCGATATTATAGATTATACCTCTAATTATAAGGGCTTTTACCCTATATAGGCCTAGACTAGGGTCTAGGCTAAGTCTATATATAAGCGGCCTCCGCGCCTATATAAGCTAGGCCTATACTTCTTTTCCTTTTCTCCCTCGTAGATTATTAACCTTCTTTTAACGGACCATACCTAAGCCTACGCCTCTACCTACTCCGCAATAGTATAATCTACCCTTTATTTTACCCTCTCTATATCCCTATATATAGAATAGCTATTTTTAGCTGCCTTTAAAGCCGACGTTTAATTACCTAGTCTAGTTAAACCGCCCGCGCCGGTATATATATACGCGAAATATCTATACTCCTATAGTTATAAAATTAAGGCGAACGTAATACTTAGTTCGCCTAGGCAATTAAAAGCCTCTTATAATAGTAGGGCTCCGCACGACTAAGAGCGGTACTACCGCACCTTAGTAAGTTCGACGGCTCCTCCGCGGAGCTCGAGCTATAGCTACTTTATATAGAAGCAAAGCTCTATACCGATAGCGCCGTAATAGGGGATATCCGCGCCTAATTCGACTATCTTTATACGAGCCTATCCTTACGCCTATAAAGGTATCTCTTACTAGTTACGCGTACTAGTATAAATAGACTAGCCGACCTCCTTATAAAGCTCTATACTAATTACGGCGAACTTAATATAGCTAAGTTAGTAGGCTAGGAGCTTATAACGCTCCGTTAAAAGCGGAGTAAAGCTATTCCGGCCTACCTTATATAGTTCGAAGAGGTGCTTTATTAAGTAGATATATATAGCTAGCCTAACGCGGTAAAGTATAATTACCTCGTTATAAGCTTAAATATAGATTAGCGTACCTATTTAAGCGAAAGGTCTATACTACTAAATATATATACCGATCTTATTTACCTTCTTTATAAGCTTAGTAGTAATAAGTTTCTTTTTTTATCTTCTTTTATAGTATAAGAAGAGGATAATACTAGTAATACTATAGATATCTCTATCTCCGCCTTAAGGACTAAGGATAGAAAGAGGTAGCGATAGGAGGGTCGCTATATAGGCTATAGCAGTAAATCCTACTAGTTTTTAAAGTGCCCGCGCCGGGAGGCGCGGGTAAACGTACTCTAAGTAGTAGAGGGGCGCACGCGCTATATTATATACTAGTCCCTCGGTACGGGGCTAGTACGTTAACCTTACCGTCTGCCTAGATCCGGTGCGGGTCTAATAGGTAATTAAACGGACTAGCTACCGTACGTAATTAAACGTATTATATAGACTAGCTACCGTACGTTATTATGCGTATTAAATACGGACTAGCTACCGGTCTTATAAGTTAAAGTAAGAGTAGTAATAACTATCTATATTCTTCTTTACCCGCCTAAGATCTAGTAGGTTCTCTATCTTCTATATATACTATAGCGAGCGTAGGACCTTACTTAGGGCTTTAACTAAGTAATATCTTAACCTTATAATCGTGCGATAGTAGTATAGTATATTAGCGGCATTTCTTAGTATTTTCCCTAGGTAGGCATAGGTATTTCTCTATAATTTCCCCGCTATATCTTTATAGTAACTTCTTAGGGAAATATCGGTATAATCCCTAAGGAACTATTATTACTTAGGAAATTATAGTATATTTCCTATATAATATATCCCTAAGGGAAATCTCTATAAAATATCTATATAATCTACTCGGTTATTATTTCTAGGATTTCCGGGTAATTTCCTAGAGTTTACCCGGTAGCTTCTAGGTTCCTTCTTCTACGGGGAGCCTTAAGGAGGGAAGCTAATATCGTTATAAGTACCTAGATTATCGACCGTAGGGTATCCCGTAATAAATACCTAGGGTAAAAGAATTAACTAACGTCCTTATTAGTTTCCCGCGGTATTTAGGCGGGAGTCACGCTAATAGGGAATCGTAGTAGAGTTATATAGATTTCTAAGGTTAATATAAGGAATAACTTATCTTTTATCTAGAACGTAACTTAGTGCGACTAATATTAAGGGCGCGAGGTAGCTAAGCTAGGAGTAAAATACTATTAGGACTAAGGGCGCTAAGTAGCTAAACTAAGGTAATAAATAAGTAAGGCCGGGGGCGTAGTATAGCTAAGCCGGGGAAAACTAATTATAACCGGGGGCGCTTTATAGCTAAGCTAGTAATAAAATAAATAGGGCTAGGGATACTACGAGACTAACCTAGTATCCGACTATCTTACGCCGCGGGGGTAGGGGTAGGGCGGGGGATTTCCTCCTTAGCCTCCTCCTTTATTAGTTCCTTAGGGCCTACTAGCACGTCGGCCGGGGCATCCTATATATTAAAGGCTCTATAGATAGGCACGCTATAAGCGTTATTTACGGCCGGTTCTACTAAGAGTATTATAGCTAGTCTATTATAAGAGGCTAGAATTTAGTTATAGATTACTACTACTAGTGCTTATATAGTTAGGCCTAGGTTCTAAAATCCGCTTAAGTATACGTCGGTAAACTTCTAGTCTAATAAGTTAAAATAGGCTATTACGTTAGCTATATAGGGGCGGGCCGCGGCTAGTATATATAGGGGGCCGACGTAGGCGGCTCTTTAATAAGCTATAGCGAGCTTAGGCGAGTCGTCTAAGAGGTAAGCGGCGAACGTAAACTAATAGATAAAGCTAGCGGGCACTTTAGTAAGGGCAGCGTACTAGCCGAGCGAGAGGTTAGCGTCGGCCTCCTTATAGATAGCGGCGAATAAATTTACCTAGATTACGGCCGCGTATAGGGCTCTATAGACTAGCGCTTCTAACCTAGAGTAAATAATACCTATATAGCTATTAGTATCGCCCGGGTTATCGTAGTATACTATAAAAGGTACGATAGGGAATAGTCTAAGCTTTCCGCGGCTTAGAACCTAGAAGGGGTTAAGCTTTTATTAGACTAGTATCGGGGCCTATTCCTCGGCGAATAAGTTAGCCCGCTTAGAGGGAGTAGAGGGTAAGGCCGCGGCGGCGGTAAGTAAGCGTTTAGCGAATAAGTTCCTTAATAGCTCGTTAAATATAAGGTCTACTATACTAGATCCTCTAGTCCTAGCTAGGGTACGCTTAAGGGTCTCTTTAAACTTATAAGTTCTTAGTATACTAGAGGCCTCGCGCTCCTCTATAGCGGCGGCCTTAAATATCTTTAGATAGGTAAGGAGGCACTTTATACTAGTAATAGTAGCGATAATCTTAAGTATCTTAGCGTCTATAGAGGCTACCTATTTAAATAGGAGCTTATTAACGATATCGGCTAAGATAGTAGCGATCTACGCGGTTCTAAGAGCGCTAGTTATCCTCTTAGTTTTATTAGGGAAGATAGCTCTATCTAGGTCGCGTAGCGATAAGGGAAGAAGCTCGTCCTTATTAAACGATAGGGCAAACTACCTACGGGCGTTTTAAGGGGTACTAGGGGTTTTCCTTATAATACCGGAAACTAAGGGTAGCGAGTTACTAGATAAATTACTAGAGCTTAATAGCGATAGGGCATAGTTATTAAAGCAAACGCGTAATAGAGTGCTAGGAATAGGGCGATAGGAAGCGCCGACCTACTATAGTCGGATAGTTAACGTTGCGTTTACCTTAGTTTAGGTAGTTATAGGAGTTATAGTAGTAATATAATAAGCGGCGATACTATAAGGTATAGAGAAGTATAGCTAGTTACGTTTACGTAGATTATAGGCTTTAGCT